ATTGCTACATTCATGAAGTAACATTACCTAACTCTTGGTATTCAATACAGTCAGGATTAAATAATATATTATACTTTTATTCTTCTCCACTAGTTCCAGATGAAGATAACACAAATGGCCATTATTTAGCGTTACAATTGGACGAAGGAGTATATACTGGCACAGAACTAGCAACAGAATTAAAAGCAAAAATAGACGATGTTGTAGATAATACTAATTTCTCAAATACTTATGAAGTTACTTACAGTGTGAAAACTAATAAAATAACGATTTCTTCAAACTATGCTGATAGACAATTTGCAGTATTAACTGATGAACAAATGAAAATAATATATGCTGATTATATATGGAATGGAAGGTTTAATGCTAATAACTTGCAATCTGTTAATGAAGTTTTAGGAAATTATCAAATGGTAGTTTATCAATATAATAATCCTTATGTTTCTGGTTTCGTTAATCTTCAACCCATTAGAAATATTCATGTTCATTCTTCTCAATTGTCTAATTATAATCAAGTAAATTTAAGGACGGGCGATAGCACAGTTGTTAAGAACGTACCAGTCACAGCACCACATTCTGGTTTGATATTCGACTCAGAATTAAATCCACTGGATTACTTGGATGTATCAAATAGAAGTTTTAAACAGTTAGACTTCTGGTTGTCTAATTCATTAGGTAATGAAATTAATTTGAATGGGGTTAATGTTAGTCTGAGTCTCCTTTTCGTAAACAGTGTATTATTTAAATATATTCTATATAGAAATTTAATAGAAAATATATAGAATATATTATATGACAAGTATTGAGGTAGTAGATGTTAATAATGAAACTAAAACAGACGAAGCACCTATTAATAATGAGGTTGTTGAACAACATGAAACAGTTAATGAAGAACCAACGCCTGAAGAACCAACAAAAGAAACCACAGACGAACCTAAACCAAAAGCAAAAGCAAAAGCAAAAGCAAAAACATTACCAAGGACAAAGAAAGAAATTGAAGTAGTCCAATGTGAAAAATGTGGTAAATCTATGAATGCTAAATCACTTCGTTTTCACATCCAAAGAATTGTAAGGGTGTGCCTACTGAACTATTACCAGTTAATCCACAAAAGAATATTAGAAAAATTCAACCAGAAGTAAAAGAAGAAATTAAGAATGAGATTAAACAAGAAGTGATTAAAGAAACCATTCAGAAACCCGCAGCAACAGAACTATTAAACCAACATTATGAAGAACTTAAACAAAAGAGAAAACAAGATAAACAAGAAAAAATAAACAAATTATCTTCAATGTTTTAAATAATAATCTAATTATAATATATATTAATCATGCTTATGAGAAGTCATAGAAATGTAGAATTCAAAAGAGCACCACAAGTAGAACGTCATTATGATGTTTCAGATTTATGGGGAGTTGCCTCGCGTATGAATTACTTTAAACAGTTGAAGGACACACTGGAAGCGAAACAATCACAAGGAGCATTAATAAAGTATAGAAACGATTTAGTTGAAAGCAACAGAACCGAAAGTTACAGAAAAGAGTTAGACAGAATAAGAAACATATTAGACAACACACGGTCACCAGACGGAATACAAACAAAGGAACAACTAACAGTAAGAAAGAAGCATTTAGAAGAAATGATTAAGAATATCTCTGATTAATTTATTTTTTCTAAATAATTAATATACTATGATTAAATCAATGAATAGATTGAATACAGTAGGACCGGTAAAAGTAGGGTCATTGAAATCACAATTACATTTGAGACCTTCTTATGATGAATTATTGAAAGAAACATTAGTAGGAGATGAGAACCGCCCATCAATTGAAAATGTAATAGACAGAAAAGCAACCAGATAGAGATTAAATCAATACGGTAGTCAGTTTGATAATAAAGATGCTTTGGATATTCAGAAGAAACAAGAACTGAACAGAAGAGAAGAAGTTATTAAAGAAGCGTCGTCGGACGGTGGTAGTGTAAGAGCTAAACTTGATGATGAACTGAAACTTGCTGACACACTGAAACAACAGCAGTCTTTCATTAATGAAAGATTGGCGGAAACAAACAAACAGAAAGAAGAACTTGCTGAAAAAATGAGACTTTGGAGAGAACAACACGAAGAAATGGCAAGTGCTGTTTCAAAACAATCAATACCAGAAGGTGTAGAAATTCGTTCAATGGTGTCCGCTGATGAAATGCCAGAATTAGAACCATTAGAGGAAGAGGAAGAAGAAGATGAACGTGAAGACGACCCTGTAGTTGAAGTAGAAGCATTGAAAAAAGGTAAGGATGATGACGATGACGCGCAAACAACCATTACTAATGCTGAGATAATGGAAATGCAAGAACAAGCAATCGAAATAGAATTTAAAAATGTTGAAAATGAAGAAGTTGACGACGAACGAATTTTCAAAAATTATTCAAGTGGTATAAAGTGGATGTGGCCGGTGTATTTAGCAAAAATTTCCAAGAAGTTTAATGGATAGTATAATTTCAAAACTACATCAATTCAATGTAATTAACGCTGTTAAATATGATGAGTTCAAAGAATTATTATATGAATATAACAATACAACAGGAGTAGATAGAAACGAAGTGAAGGTTAAACTACAAAAATATTATGAGGACAATGTTTATAATAAATACTTCGTCCATAAAGCAACTCAACAATAAATAATCTATCATATTTAATATGACTGATAAATATTATGGATTAAGACGACGCCCTACATTTGATGAAATGCTGAAAGAAGCGATGACACACAGATTAAAAATTGAAATTATCCCTGAAAGACAGACATTTGACACATCAATTAATAATATAGACTTTGATGATTTTGACCTTTCAAAATACGATAGGAGACTACGGTTGAATGCTAGGGTTCAAACTGATAAACAAGTTCTTCAACACGAATTGTTCCCTGATATGTTTGATGAAGTAGCACCAACATCACAGTTATATGAAAACAACGAGGCAGACGCACAAGCAAAACGATATGTAGCAAAAGATTTTGCTGATGAAATTTATAGCAATGCAATTTCAGGACCAAAAGATGAACCAAAAGATGAACCAAAAGATGAACCAAAAGATGAAAAGCAGGAAGATTTACAAAGTCTTCATTTAACATCATCATCGTCAGCATCAACCGTGAAAGAGGAAGAGAAGAAAGAGGAAAGCCGAGAAATAAAGTCGTTAAGAAACATATTTTTAGGTGGAGAAGACAAGAGCATATTTGAATTATTAAAACGAGAAAAGAAGTCATCCACACCATCAGAACAATCAAGAGAACAGGAAGAAGAACAACCGAGGGCATCATTCTGGACAAGACGACAGGTAGAAGCAAGAAGCAGAAGTCACTCACCAGAAGAAAGAGCAAGAGGCAGTCAATGGGGCATAAGACAAATGGAAACGAGAAGCAGAAGTCGGTCACCTGAAGAAATAGCAAGAGGTAGTGAATGGACGAGGGAACAAATGGAAACAAGAAGCAGGAGCAGAAGCCCAGAAAGCAGAAGCCCAGAAAGTAGCAGAGGCAAGAAGAAAAAATAAAACTACTTAAAGAAATGACCCCTTAATATATTAAGAGAAAAATGAATAAGTGTATCAGAGAAGAATTGACAAAAGAAATTGTAAAATGCCGTGGTTGTAAGATATTCAACAACAAAGTCAAAAAAGCAAATGACATATTACCTGACTGTATCATTGATAATATTTTGAGTTTTGTAATTTGTAAAAGATGCACCATTACAAAACATTTAATGAAAAACGCACCTGACAATTTAAAAGAAATGGATAAGTGGATTTGGTATATGACGAGGTTAAATAAATGTCCGACGAAAAAGTCATTACAGACAATATTTACAACTGATTTTGACAAAACATTAAAAGAGTATGGATACGATAATAGGTTAATCTTGTATTATGAAACCGCTACTCAATTTCATTATAATTTACTTTTTAATCATAATGACGCTTATGTATCGTGTAAAGATTGTAGCATCTCGATGTGTAGGGATTTTCTTAACATGTTGAAATGGCAATATATAGAAAACAAAGACAAAGTCGTTTATAAAAACATGTTTGATAATGAGTTTTATCATAGATTCGTCTGTCATTTGTTAGAAAAGAAAAGGTTGATTATAGAATGGTTTACTTATAGAGATACTGTTGATAGTGATTCAGATTAAGTTTATTAATATTATTATCTTATAATATGATTAAACACTTGTATCTCCCAGAAAGCCTAAAAATGGTCTGAAACCCGAACCTTGAAAATGTCAATATCTTAGACTGTTATTAAATGAACAAATTGTAAACAAATGTTTAGAAATTTTAGAAAAATTCCCCACAATCAACCTTGGTGTTTTGAACAAAATGGTTTGCTTGTTGAAAAGTGGTGTTGAACCCTGAAACCCTGAACTGAAAATACCCTACCCTAGAACCAACCTTTCTACTATTTTTTGGGGGAGCCCCTATTTTGAGCAACACATACACATGTTTTTGACTGATGGTCCAAAAAAGTGCACCAGGCTGACCGCACGCAGATCTACCGCTAGCTTCTACAACAAATCCGAAGTGGACATTGATACACACCTTGCATTGACTCATGCCCAATGATTTGAGGCTCCCAGTAAATCTGCGTTTGCCAAACGGCTCGCTTGCCGCACAGTCGGGGTCTTGTTGCACATCGCTGTTTTTGTTTGGGGCGCTCGCTCGAAAAAAAAATGCTCCAGGGGTCAGGGTGGCAAGTGGCGAGATTCGCCCTAACTCATTCAGGTTCTTGGGTCGTAAGAATGCCTACTGATCACTTGCTATCTCCTCCCCTTTGAGCCTCTCCAAGCAAGATGTAGATGTGCTTTTAGGTTCTTCTGAATCGTCATCCTGTGCGCAAGATGCAGGGAAGGCGAAACTGGGTGAGTTCCCAAAAACCTCCCGGCGCCTCCGCCCCAGTTCCGGGAAACCGCTCTTCGGACGAATCGCCGCCCCAAACGGCCGGCGCACTGTCACATTGTCACGAGTCCTCACGCGCTGAAGGACCAGGGTCATGAGATCATGAGAGTAGTCTTGTAGTATGATACATATATGAATATCTATACATATATATATACACATATGTATGTATATATACACATATGTATGTATATTCATGTATTGATATATTCATATATGAATATATATATATATATATTGATATCACAGTACAATAAGATATATTGATAGATTAAGGTAACGATCTACAACCCAAAGGGAAACTCATCTGTTATCGGTCGAAAAGGGCCATGTGGGAAATTCTGCCTGAGACCACCCCGAGGAAAGCAAGGCCTTGGTGAGCTTTGAGACTTAGCAAGGCCTAAGGCCATGTTTTTTGCCATAAGGGTCCCGACCCGCCAAGGGTCCCCGCCCCGTACCTATGGTGTTCGGGTGTCAACGCCGGCTCAGACATCTGGGTTTACCTTTAAGAAAGCAGATCCCAGGTGTTCGACGTTGGAAACGGATCCCCCTGGGTTGGCTTGAAGGTGGAAGCCCAAAGGAAAACCATCATTTTGGGGGGTGTCCAACCCCTAAAAAGCCACACACGCCCAAATAGATGGATTCTGGATGAGAATCGAATCGAGATCCCTGGAATCCATCTTAATGAAACCGACTTCTGTGAAAGGACCCGACAGCATCGTCTGGGTCACCAAAAATGGGCCCCAAATGCCTGGCATCCTGCTGCTCTCCTTTTGTTTTGCGCATGTCCTTCTGGTCTCTCTTTGCAATCGACCAAACAACACTTCCACACAGGGGCACTCCTGCACTTCCAACATCTCCCCCAAGCAAACAAAACAAAATTAACTGCATCCAAGGAAGTGATGCGTTCAAACTAAGGTGATGTTTAAGCCCTTATGCCCCTTTAAAAGAAAAAGACAACAAACGGTGGACTTCTCCTTCCAAAAAGCGAACCACACCCATGATCCTACCGAACCAAAACATCCCGAGGGAGGGCCACCCAGAAGATACCCCCAGGACGACCACCCCTTCGAACATTTGTACCCGTTTAGTGTGTCCGTCTTCAAGGGTACCCCCTTTTTGGTGGGTTGCAAAGGGAAACCCAAAGGAAATCCGCTGCGCCATTTTGGGGGATCCAACCGAAAAACGGACACCCTCTTATAGGTGTGGTGTTTCTAACCTCCATAGCTCCAAACCCCATGCCTGAAAATACCGGAACTTGACCTGAGGGTTAAATGACATGTACCTTGAACGTTTTGAGGCAGGCACCCCTCAATAAGGTGGTCGAAAGCAAACTCTGAAGAAAAATAAACTCTCATTTTGAGGCTCCTATGAATTATACATGAGCGCCTTGTGGGATGTAGCCCGCAACGCCCTGCATTGGAAGAAAGATGTGGGTGTGCGGGTGTCTCTTTCTTGAGTTCGCGGCCTTTGGGGCGTTTTGAGTCAAGACCTCGAATCCCAACCTCGGAACGTATAAATGTACCCTGAACATTCATCGATTTAGGTCCAAAAGCGCAGAAACTTTGTGAACCCCTGGTATGAACTCTCCCAGTTTCTGGGTATGAACCTTGCCAAGCTCAAAATAAGCACAGGAGAACTCCTTAAGGGGTGTTCAGTTCACCCCCTCTGAGGCCGCACTAAAGGGATTGATTGGGCGAAGGTCAACTGGCATTGGTGGGGCGCCCTTCATTCATTCTTGATTGAGGAGAGGGGAGGCTCAAGGAATCAAACTGAGCCATTGCTTCAAAACTGGCAAGATCCCCCAGGGAAGGCGATCTCTTGGGCTTCTTGGTCATTGCATCAGAACTTCGCGCAGTGGCGCAAGCCGACTGTGAAAAAGCGGCTGACAAAAGCCACAGCCCAGGAGGGTGTCTCAACACTAGGGCACCCCTAAATTAAAACGCATAGGTTCCGTTTGGTTGCACTTTGTTTCACCAAAGGAGAACCGCACCTGTAAGCTGGGGGATGGTTCCTTTTGGGGGCCCCCCCCCAACAAAGGACTTCGATTTTCCTTTTCGTCCCTTTAAACCCACAACAACCAGGTACCAACTTCAAACCAAAGGGAAAAACACGCGCGCATGTCAACTCCAAAACGGGCACTTCCCACTCCCCCCGCCCCCTTCCCTTCCAACCCATCCGACTCGCCGAAATTCCATAGGTGTGTGTTTTTGCAAAATAGACGGCCCTGGTCGTTGGTTTGACCACCAGGCAAACCAGGAATCGTCCTCTATTTTTCAACCAAGTTAACCAAGAAGGACACCTATGTTTCTCGCCGAACTCCGAGGCCGGGGCTTTGCTTCCAAACTGAAGTCGATGAGCTCCTGTGCCTCAAGAGCCCCGTGGGTGACATGGACATCCAATTCAGGGACCGGATGCCTGGGAGCCACGAACAAACATACCCCGCTTTGACTCACTTTTGAGACGGTAAACGTTACATAGATATATATATATATATATATAGATATATATAAATGTACATATATATATATATACATACCATTGCACCTTTTTATACATAGAACCTGGAAGATAAAATGTTCCTTTTAAAGGGACCGGGTCCCGAACGTCAGGGTCCATGTCAATATTTGCGAGGGTGTGTATAATGTGCATATATATATATATATATATATATGGTCCCCCCACGCTCCTGTCTTCATTTGTTATGCCCACTACATCTGACTCCGCGAAAGGAAACAACTCTCCAACTCAACCATTTCAACCGTTTAAAACGATTGAACCCTTAAACCGTTGAAACCTTCTGCCAGGGGAAAGGTCTGGGCCCAAAACCGATGAAACCGATTGAACCCCTTAAACCTCTGGGCCCAAAACCGTTTCAAACCTTTTCAGCCGTTTGAGCCGTTTGAACCCTCTCTCAGGTAGAACCCTTGGGGGGGCGGCCTTTCCTTTGAGAAAGGGTTATAACGGTTGAAACGGTTTTGGGCCTTGGGCAGCCTCTGAGAAAGGATTCATTTGGTTTAAATGTTCAAAACAGTTTGCGGCCCTAGCCCTCTTGTTTTGCATCTTCACACAGGTTAAATATAAAAAAACAAAAACAAAACTGTCTATTCAAGCCTTGATTCATGATTCCTTGGAAAGGTTTGGAGCCTGCAGCTTCAAGATTGTCTTTGGAAATGCGCCCTTTCTTGTTTCTTTCCCCCAAGCAAGAAAAAGACAAAACACCGCAAATATCTGTGAAATCTGAAGAAAGTAACTTAAATAGGATGGCCTTTTTAATAAGAATGTTGCTTCAAATTGGATTTTAAAGGTGGTCTCCTTTTCTTGATGTTGAATCAATAAGGACTTGAGACTTTTCGGGAAGACATTTTTTGTGGTAAGCAAAAAGGTCGGACGTTTCTTGGCCAATCCACACAGGAAGTGAGTAAGGGCAACTTCCTGGCAAGCCTTCCACGGCAACTGCCCGAGAGCCTCAAAAAAGGTAGTCTAGGTTTTGCTCATGGCTGAGTGCAAAAGCAGACATATTGAGGGCGTTTAATTTACTTCTGGGGTTGGTTCCAGCATGAGGAGGGTCCGTTTGGGGATGTCACTTTAAGGGACTGAGTGAAAGCAGCGCCGAAATCCATCAGGTTTAGCCCAAAGCCAAGTTTGCACCTTCTCTTCGTAATGGATCAATCGCTTCCTGGACCCTCAAACTATTCTTACAAAAAAAGAAGAAGAAAAGAATTCACCCCATAATTTTCGGGCAATCACTCGCTTTCTGGGTTAGTTTCAGGTTCACAGATTTCACATGAACATCCTTTACCAAAAGGCCCTCGGCTTTCTTTCTCACACGAAAACCCCCCCCCCCCACCCCCCCACCCCACCCACTCCACCCCCAATCCACCCCCCACCCCACCCCACCCCACCCCACTCCACCCCACCCCACCCCACTCCACCCCACTCCACCCCACTCCACCCCACTCCACCCCACTCCACCCCACTCCACCCCACTCCACCCCACCCGCGCTCTTTGCGCCCGGGCGATCTCATCGAGCTCCATGGGCGGATTGTATCGAAGCCGCTCCTGGGATCCATCTTTCGAAGCCGCAAGCCGAACCGACCCGGTGACCGCGCACTGGACCTGAGACGAGAAAAAAAAAAAAACATGCACCTCTTCCCGGGGGGATTTTCCGGTGCCGAGGCTTTGTCCTGTTTGTTCAAGGCCGGAGACCGCTCGCACCTTGAACTTTACAAAAGGTACCCACGGACCCTCAAACTACCGACTGAAAAACAGGGGGAGTTCATGCTCCAATCATACTTGTAGGTCGGAAATGTCCAACTTTGAAGGGTAATTTGAGGGTCCGGGTGCCCATGGGATGGTTTTTAACTGAACCCGCACGTTTTGGCAGGGCTTTGCTAGACAACCCCATGTAGCTGTCTGTGAGATATGGGCAAATAAGAATACACCGACCGACAAGCGGTCGGCTCGAAGGAAAGGAAGCTGTACTGACTGCGCAGCCCCAGGAGAGTGGCGTCGCTGTAATTTGTGAAGAATTCAAATGTGAAATAATTCCGCACAAATCAAGCTTGGCTGTCCTCAGATCCCCTGCTCAAAGTTTTAGTGGGGTTCATGGAAACCACTGAACCCTAAAACGCGAAACACCTAGGGGGATGGATGCGAACCACCAAGCAACATAAAACCCAGGGAACACCCATGTACAGGAAGCCAGTTTTGGCTTCCATGTTAATTTGCCGGGGAGCAAGAATTGACACCCGAACGGAAAACCTATCCATGTTGGTACTTGTCGCCGTAACGGCTGACCCCCTCTACATCTTTTGACCCTGGGGGGGGGGAACATTGAATGGTCAGGTCCTGAACAAGTGTTCAAGGGGGTCCGCCTATCCAAAAACGGGGGCAAAAGGTTTCCTACTGTGGATGGACGAAATCCTGCACCACCTAAGAAACCCTCAGAAATCGATGCTCCTGTAAACGCCAACAAACAATGGTTTCAACCACGGTTTCAGAGTGGTGCGATATTCGTCCATCCACAGTCTACAAAACGGTTTGCATGCGTTTTTGCCGAAGGCTTGATGACCATCCCCAAAAAGGTACTGGCCCCAATTTCCCCCCCCCTGGGAAACACTCCGTTTTTGCTTGCACTTTGATCCTTACGGGAGGATGAGGGTTTCATGTTGGTGTCCTGAAACCGTCCAAAAAAGGGTGTGGTTCCAGGACGCACGACGTCTGAGGGACAAGGGGGCTGGACTACTTTCCGTCTGGAAAATGACTAAGTTTGGCCCTGACAGGTTTTAGATAACCACATCCAATGAACCTTTTCCAAGGTCCAAAGGGTTTAGCCCCCAAGGTCTCATGCAGAAACCCTACGGCTTGGTGTCTCCATCTTTCATTCTATGAAGAGCTTGATTCCACCCGAGTCGCCACAACTACATCAGCTTGATTCCGCCTGGACAAAAGAGAGCAATATGCAAGGTTCTCCAGTAGAGAGGTTAGAATAAGGCTACCCCTTTTTTTTCCGTAGTCTATTTTAGTAGCGGAGCCCTCCCCCAAAAACGGCTAAACGGGCACTACTGGGGGACCAAGGCAAGGTTACAATGGGTCTGTCTCTTTTTGTGGAGGGTACCCACGTTTTTGCGGCTTGAAGGTCCCTGATTTTAGGCCCCCAAATACTCGGAATGGAGTTGGGCACAATGGGGGTCCCTGCCGGCATAGTTTCACCTCAGAGCCTCCTTCGACAATTTGTTTTGCCACTTGTTCGGCGCTTTTGGGCCTCTACTAACCCTCTCCCTTCGCCTGCAAGGATGCAATGTTGACCCTGGACGAATGAACGCTATTAACATGGCGAGGGGATTCGAATCCCCACTGCAAGGGCACACCCCTATGAATGAATCAGGGGGTTGTTCATACGCGGATCCCATCACCGGAAACCAAAAATAAAAAAGTCCCGGGCAGAGCGACTCCCATTCCTGTCCCAAGATTTGAGGAAAACCAAAAACCTCCGCAGACCGTCCCACCCCTCGTAACGGGGCTTTGGCGTAAACAGCGCATGGTAGCGTTGCTTATCCTACCTGACCTAACTCTTTCACGTCGAACGGGCGAACATTGCAACCAAGGTTGTACCTGTTTGGTCACTGGGCTTAGTTGGCTTATAACCCTGGTTATAACCCTGGGTAACAGCCATGCAGGATTTTTCCAACGAAACGGAAACCCAAGAAAAACCCAGTCCCTTGGGCCCCCGAGCATGTACGAATTGTGCTGCCTCCTCACTCGAAATCGCATCCCAAAGGCCGTCGCAGGCCTCGGACATCCATCGAGCCAGCCGGCCCTTGGACCCATCCACGGTGGTAACATCACGGTACAACAAACTAGAGCTGAAATAAGAAGAATGAGAACAGCCACGAATACCCCCCCCCAAAAAAGAAAAAAGTGTGCTTGTTCTTTTGGTTTGAACCTCCTTTGTGGGTGTTAAGGGGAATCCCAAGGAGAAACCGAGCCGTTTTGGGGCTACCATAAAAGACACGCCCATTTGCAAGGGCGAAGAATGATCCAAACCAAACCAAGCCAAACCAAACGGGGGGGGGGGAGCCGGGGACAATCTTGGAGACGCTAAGACTCTTGATTCAGGGGGCCATGCACGGAAAAATTTGGCCCTGGGCCCTCAAATCACCCCGGAAAATGGGATGTTGCAACCCAACATTCTGGCCGGCGACTCTGCCGCTTCCTCTTCCTCAAGTCGGCAGCTTCAGGGCCCAGGGCCCCTTCTCGCAGGACAACCCCTCCTGGAAAGAAACCTTCCGCCGGCCGAAGAAAAAAAATGAGGCCAAGCGGCCAGCAGAAGCAGCGTTCCCTCCGGTAATCCTGAGACCTCGTAGATGTCCGGCCTCGCTCGGCTCACGATAAAAAAAAGAAGAGGAAGGAACAAAAACGCGGGCGAAGCGTTTCAGTTTCGGACCAGCTTCGAGCTTGGGTCATTTGGGCGGTCCAAGAAAGCCCGAAAATAGTTTGGGCCCTTGAGGTCCAGGAAAATCCGAACATGGGTTGCATCTTTCTTGGGTGTCCCGGTAAAAACCATCCAAGCACACATAAACACGCACACGCACACACACACACAGACACAAACACTCTCTCTCACCCAGGCTAGGCCCAAGCAGAGGTTGGAGCAAACTCAGCCACTGAAAAGCATATCTGCATCATTCACAGCTGGATGTGCGCCAGAGGGAAAGCTCCAGAACGCGGGAAACCGGGCTGGAGAACGCTCAGAACCACAGATGTCCCTTTTGGAAAAATCGATGGCCCTGGGAAATGGATGGCATAAAACCCATCTAAACCAGCGCCTTCCCATTTCTGACCACACTAACCAAAGGACAGCTATGCTCAGAACTCCGGGGGCTCCAAAACGACCGGCCCTGACTTCAGACTGGCAACGCCTCGGCCACGGCCCGATTGAAATTGTCCCGCAACTTGCGGACAGGTGAGCGTGGAGAAGCTGGGCTGAAGTGATTCTCTGATTGCTCAGATTCCTCTCCCAGGATTAGGACTAAACTATCAGAAAAAAGAATCCTTCGGGTGAGCCATGGTCAAAATACGGTGTTATCCGCCATAGGCATGGGGACATATCCGCAAGTCCCCTCGTGTGTGTGTGTGGCTTCCTTTTGTGAGTCCTCATATCCCTGACCCCTGTAACGCGAGTCTGAATGTCCAATGGAGAAACGACCCTCAGGTCTATTCAGTTAAGCTTTTGGGGCCTGAACAAAGCGAAAGAAACCTACCTGGATAGCCAAGTTGCTGCCTTTGTTCAGTCACTGTTGGTGGCTTTTTAGAGTAAAGTGCATGGAAACGAAACAGCCACTGGCGATCCAGGTACCAAATGCGTTGCTTGTCTCTTTTCAAAACTGGCAGCTGGCCTTGACATAGCGGGAACCCAACCAAAAACAAACCTCGTAGATGCAGCCCTCGTATCCCGACAAGAACCGCGAAAAGGGCCTAGATATTTTTTTCAACGTGACCCAAGATTGGGCAAACCAACCCCAAAAGCGCTGGTCTCAGAAGGGCAAGGTGTTGCCCGCCTCTGTATCCTCTGCATCACATGCATATCATCGACCCTAGGGTCTGAAAGAATGGTTGACCCAATTTGGCTGGTGGTACTCATTAGGTGGTTATGTGTTTAAATGGTGGTTTGAATCCCACAGATTCAAAGTCAGCTTGCCACGTTCCAAGTGCCACGATTGTCCGTGCACGGCCACAACAGCTGAGAAAGCTCTGAGCTGAGGTGTTTCCTCCAAGAATCCCCCCCCTGTTAAGCCGAAGCTCCCGGGCAATCTTCGGGTCGCATGTGGGTTGATAAACCAATATAAGCCACCAATCCCAAGTAACACGATTGATGGATTTCGCAGCAATCCACATATATGACACAACCCTGCTCGTGAAAGATTCTTTTCGCAAACCCGCCAGACCATCGCTCGCCGAGCGGTCGTGACTAGGCTCAAGGCAAACACGAGACCTTCTGCTCGGCCGCAGGCCCTCAGTGGGCTTCGCCATGCGGCATCCCCAGGGGATTTCTCGGCCAACAGAAGCGCGCCGAAACCCCACGAGCAGTGGCCCCTTCTTGGAAAAAAACATGTTGGCTCCCATGCGCTCAAAACCCCGAAAAAAACCGGCAACCGCGACTGAAAAAAGCGATCGCGACTTGGCAATCTAGGCGCTTTGAAGGGGATTCCACTTCGGGGAAAAATGGCCAAACAAGGCACCCCGAACACACACGGTCACACGTGAAAACCCGCCCCGAAACAAGGGGGAACCAAAAACACCTGACCGCGAGGTCAAAAGTCATGGGTTTCCCCTTCGAAAATTGCAGGTTGCTGGTGGGTTCCAACCAACGCCACACGCGGAGGTCCAAAAAAGGGCAGTTGCAGTTGCAGGTGCCATGAGAAAATGTCCCGCCCCAAGACTGCAACAGGTGGATGTGTTCCTTCTGAATGGGACTCCGGATCCCTTGGGTTCCAACAAGGAAAGCCACCACCAGAGGATTGATCTTGCAACTAGTCCATGCTCCAAGCCCGGGTAGAAGAAAGGAAAAAAAGACTAGCCAAGACCTTATTTGGGCCACAACGCATGTTCTTCCCCTAAAAAACCAAAACCTTTCTGTGGGCGTATCTTCTTACCCTTTTTGGCTTAGGCACCCCAAAACCGGCCACCTGGATCGCCAGTGGCCGCTTTTGTCCATGCACTTTACCCCCACAACCAGCAACAGTGATTGAAAAAAGCAGCATCTAGGTGATTTCCTTTGGCACGTTTAAACCAACAAAACCTGGGTACAATCCAAACAAGACACACACACACACGGCCACGGATCCATCGCCTTCGCCCATTCGCCCGTTCGGCCGTTCGGGATCCTCCAATGGGATCCCCGGCGCCCATCGTTGCACTTGAAATCAAAATCCCCCAGGCTGCGACCTGGGCTCCAGGCTGCGACATCCGGCAGTCGTTTTCCGGTTTCCGGTTTCAGCCTCCAAAGTCCTGGGAGCTTCCATGTCCTGAGGGAGGGTTGTTCGCATAGGTTACCAGGGATCGCCCTCTATTTTTCGACCAAAACAACCAAAACGGACACCTGTGACCCCCGAAGTGGCCAAATCAAAGAGATGAATCAAAGAGCAGGGCCAAAGAACCAATAAGCAGACCCGAGTTTAAACAAGAAGTCCTCTGTCTGCTTCCTTCATCTGTCGCTATGGTCGCGATTGTGTTTTTCTTTGGGCGGGGGCGGCGGGGGTGAGAGGAATTCACGAGACAAGAAAAAATGCCTCCGATATTTTCCAGTGTCCCTTTTTGGGGTGGACCGTTTTCAGTGAGCGAGCAAATTACAATTTCCCTGACCGCGAAGGAGGAAAAATGGTCTTGTGGTCCATATGGGTGTCTCTCAAAATAGGGGAATCATCTTCCCCCTTTCTTCTTGCGACTCACAGCACTTCTGTGGATGGCCACCGCAGTTTGTCAGTGGCACATAGCCCAGGCTGATAAGTATCCTAAGCATTTTTGCACACTACGTACAACCCACTTGAGCGACGCTTCTTAAGCAAGGCTATTCACCGCTAACTAGGCAATTGCAATCCAAGTAGGGTTCTTGACCACATCCTTGTCCTTCAAGAAGCTGAATCCCACTGTGTTTCAGGGCAGGTTCACTACTCGGAATGTTGAGGAGCCTCCTGAAGAGGGGTCAACGAATCACACTGGTTGGTACACAAAAAGCGCATAGGAAGCTGCCCTTCTCGGATCACAAAACGCCGATCGAATCGCCTGCTTCTTCTGCCCATAGATCTAGGTCATATTAAATATAACAACTGGCTCCTCCGCTTATCTTCCATTTGCTTTAGTCCACTGGGGAAAAAAAACATGTCCAGTAGTGATACTTCCCCTTTAAAGCCAAGAGGGAAAATAAAACATGTTCACTTCAGCAAATGGACAGTATACTCCGCGTGCTCTCTGATGATCCTTTGACGAACATCGGTTGCAAAGTACCCCGCCCCATTCAATTATTTTGGCCTGCTGACCTTTGCTCGCTTTGCAGCTCAAGTGACCCCGACTACCAGATACCTCTCAGCAACACTCAAAACATGGATAAAAGCCGATCATGGGACCACCCTGATAGGGCCGTATTGATGGCACATGACTGTCCAGTGGATAAGATGGCACCTCCGGCCGATGTTTAAGGTGACACGCCCCACCGGACCCGTGGAGGCGTTTCTTTTTGGAGGGTGGGGGGGGGGAGGATGACAGCGACCATGTCCATGTGGAGGCGTTTCTTTTTTGAGGGGTGGGGGGGGGGGGGGATGACAGTGACCATGTTGCCAGACCCGGCAAGCGCGGCTTTGGTGTCTTCTGCGTGTGGCGGGGGGGGGAAGCGGCGGGCGAACTGAGCCCCCGCAGGCACGAGCATGTGGCATGTGGCAAGCGGAGTGATGGGCACTTCAAAAGCAAACCGCATGAATACACACACAAACATCCCATTCAACAACAACAACAACGTCAACAACAACAACACACGCACGTCCTTACTTTCGCACTTCGTTGGGCACCCATGGAGTCGGTCTTGGAGCCAGTCGCACTGCTTATTCTGCTACGCCTGGCACGGGTGTCGCTGCCTCCTGGTTTGGATGGCTGGCGTCATTTTGATATGTATAGCTTGGACTCCCTTCACGAGATAGTTTCTGCACCTGGTGTGGATGATGACGTTCTGGCAGCCATACAGGCAACAATGCCGCAGATGATAGAGGGATACACTCGCTGGCAGAATTTGGAAAAGTTTGCCCCGGCTCTTCGAGACGCGTGGGCGAGCCATCAGCGCCGCACTCCTGTGCCTCATGAAGCAGTAGCAGCAGGCATTGCTGTTTTGCACGGGCGGCTTCTTCGTCGTCACCTCCGATTGCAGCGGGACTCCGTGGCGCAATCCACCCCAGTCGTGGCGGCTCCGCGCAGATGGCGCCGAGGAGTGTTACACATGTGGCAAACTTCTCTGCTGGAATCTAGCCAAGGCCTAGAAGCCGCCACTGCGCTGGATATCCCGAACTGGGCTCTTCGCTTGTTTGCAAACGGCTTCAGGTGGTCGCCAGCTCGTGTTGCTGCCCTGCGTGAAGCTTTGGAAAGAGATTCCATTCGTGATCCGGAGCCTGCGCAGCAAGAGCCACGCGATGCAGCTGAGACTCCTGTTTCTTTTCCTGCGCCGCGGCGGCGGGTGTATAAGTATGGCGTGTGCGAGAGATGCCATGCCCGCATGCAGCCTGTTGTGCATGCTTCAGGTGCTTCCTGGGCCACGCCAATTTTGAGATGCAGCAAGTGGTGGCTGAAGGACGTCCAGGGTCGACGCCTCTGCTGGCACAGTCGGCCATTCCGGGCGCAGTGGCGCACTTTGCCCAGAGCACTGCAGCAGAGAATTCGCACTTTGAGAGCTGACATTCGTTGGCAGCTGTCTCACCCTCAGGCTGCCTCAAACTGGTGATTGCTCAGAGTAAAACCTGTCAGTGACCGCTTAGACCTTAGCTTCTTGAAACCAGTGACATCTCCTCCGCAGCCAGTGGCCGAAAAGGCCACTCAGTTTTGACATGTGCGATTCCAGGAGCGAAGGCGCACCGGCGCATGCGCGAGCTCCTCCGGGTGAAGCAGGCGCAGGAAGGCAGAAAGCCACGTCGCCTAGGACTGGGGAGGTTTTGAAAAAAAAAGGTACAGCGAATTTTCTTCGTTGCCCGAAAGAAACCGTGTCACCTCTTATTCTATCTGGCCCTGTAGGAGCCCCCACATATGGTGCCTACAAGAAGCAAAGGGCCGAGGAGTACAGCGGTCGAGGGAAGATTCGGAAGGACTTCTTGAAGAGACAAAAGGCAGCTAAGAAGAGCAGCACTCAGATGGCCAATGTGGGTGTGCTGGCTGCTGTGCAAGAACTTCAGGACTTGGGCATTTTGATGAAGAAGACTGACAAGTGTCCGCAGTGCAACTATGGACGTCTCAGTCAGCCAACTGTCAGAACAAAGCAGACTGCCCAGTGCTATTACCGCTGCCTGGACAGCGACTGCGGTGCCCGCACGAATGTATTCAGCTGCTCAGATGTTTTGCCGCAGCGCAAGATGCAGGGTTTGACACCCACGCAGGTCCTTATGGCTGTCAAGGCTTACCGTGCTACCGGCTGCAAGAAGCCACCAAGCCCGCTCCAGCTGTCAAGCGGGCCTTGGAGCCTGTGGTGGATGCTCTCATGGATCATGAGGCCTCCCAGGGCAGAGCGTTGTCTGGCCAAGCTGTCTTCACAGGGCAGTGCGAAGCAGATGGCACGTGCCTGCGGACTTTGCGCATTTCTTCCTCTTCCAGGACATTTGCCAATCAAGTTGCTCTGTGGAAGCGGGCTCACAGTGGACGAGCGGTGCCGCGCAGGTTCTTGCTCTACGTGCGCTGCTTAGGGGTGACGCAACGGAACTCACAGAAGATGGCAATTGCTCCTGCCCATCTTACATTGGTGCCGTTGCCGTCCAAGCCTCCCAGCGAGAGTGTGCAGGAGATCAAAGACAGCGGCTTGCTGAGGCAGCTCGCCGCGGGCGCCATCGTGTACACTGATGGCTGTGCTTCTTGGAAGACTGCGGGAAAGGCGCTGCCCCGCAAGAGGCTGCACTTCCGCAAAGTCGTGCACAACAAGAGTGAGTGGACCAAGGTCACACGTGTGAATCTGCGGGCTCGCAGAGCGGGCACGCAGCAGATTGATCGCTGCTGGCATCACTTGAAAAAAGTCATGCCCAGTGAGATGAAGAGCCGCGGTCCCAGCGGCCTGATCAACAGTCGCCTGTGGACGAGAGCATACCAATTCTTGTATAGACGGTCTTTGTGTGCCTGACATATTAAACATGCGGTCTCTGTGGCAAAGAGATAAAACAAGCAGTGCCGGATGCCAGCATGTCAATGCATGAAAGCTGCTGTTAGATACAAACGAACTTTTTGGCACCTTGCGGCATGCTCCTTCAGCAGATTTGAATGGTAAACGCGCGTTTTTGCGCGGGTCCTGCTGAGCGTGTGACCATGTTTAAGGATGGGTGTGAAGGCTGAAGTATTCGAGAGGCCTAACAAATCTTAGCTAACACTAAAATCATATGCCTGTTGGCGTTGCGCAATTCAGAAACTTGCTTACAGTACCTGAAGGGGACCAAACAAAACCAAATGGATGTGCTTTTGATCTACCTGGGCTTTGATTCGATCTCCTGCCAAAAGATACCATCCTCTTTGTTAAGGCGGGCCCCGGGCTCAGAAGAGAGCCAACATGGGTGTGCCTGTGCTGGAGGCTACCCCTTTTTTGTGGTTTAAACCAAAAAGACAATTATCATTGTAGGGAGTCCCCGAAAAGACATACTCAAGCACTTGACACCACCATTTTGGCTGAGTCCAAGTGTGGTTTTGTGCTTTGTCTTCATTCGACTCGTTCCCCTGGCTAGCAACGATTCTAATCAAAACCCGACCATCCATTCCAGTTTGTTTGGTGCCAAACAAAAGAAACCGTTTACCAGTTACAACCATGTTCCATTGTCGACAACTGTTGCAAACAAGTCTCCCAAGCAACCCAAAAAAAAACAATCCTGATCCAATCCTAAACCGAAGCTTAAGCAGAACTTGAATCAGGTGCCATCCCAAATAACACATGTTGAATGCTCATGACCTTTGAAACTAACAGTTGCCAACAAAGGAAAACCGCAAGTCATTCGCCAGTCATGATTGTTTCCCTTTGCAACATAAAACAAATGGATCATCTTCAAATAATAGATTGTGCTTACATATGTGCCATGGTCAAAACTATTTTTTTTATAGCCTATGGTCCTGGTTCACCTTGTACATGGCGCATATGGGGTTGATCAAAAGGTGGGACAAGTTGCCCATTTTCAAAAAGAGAATGGGGCCCTGCATGGACAAACATCATCAACTCTCATGTGTCTTCTTCTCTCCACTGAGGTTGTGCTACCTCACCTCCGAAAGCAAACCCCCCCCCCAAAAAAAAAAAAAAAAAACGCGGCGCCAACGGCGGCGCCCTTGGAACTTCCGGGGGCCCGGCTGACGGCGAGGTTTCCGTCCAGCCGCGCCGTGCCTTGGATCTGGGGGGAACCCGTGGGGGTTTCGGGGCACGGAAATCCTCCGGCTGGTTGAACTTGTTCCCTTGCAATACTGTCACCTCAGAACCCCTGGCTTCGGATGAACAATTCCCCTCTAAATACCGTGACACACCTTATGGGTTCAACCATGGCAGCTCATTTCCGTGCTGCGAGAAAAAAAAAAAAAAAAACACTCAACCATTCGGCACTCCACCATATGGCCGACCTGGCCGACCCAGGTTCCTCATGGTTTGTGGTTGGTTTACTTGCGATGAGGGCATCCACCATATGTTTCAGCCTGCTGTACATGGGGGAACCCCCTTTGCGCAAATTCAAAACGCGCCAGACTGCCCCCTGCAAAGAGCGACCTTTTCGCTGCTAACGGACACTCCGGAAAGGTTGAGGGATAGGACGCAAGCTAAGTCTAGCAATGTCAGAGGGAACCCTCAGTTCGGCTAGCACCACTTCTAAACCACGCCCATCAACCTCCGTCCGCGCGGCATCGCTGACCAGCTGCACCGCTTCGATCTCGAGCACCCAAAGGTAGACCATTCGATTGACCCAGATGAAGGGTACAACCCACTGACTGGCTTCAGTTCACTTTAGACGGCCCCAAAAAAGTGGGTCATAACCTGGCCTACCAACAACTAACGAAGAACACCCAAGGACAATCAATGAATACGGTGATTCGACCTCGCCCCAAGAAAAGGTTGGTGGTTCGGTGACTTGAGAAGTTGTTTGCATGAGGCCGCGGTTTTTCGGAGACACAAGACTTTGGTGAACGCCCCCTTGATGGGTCATCCCAATCCAACCACTAAAATAGGTTCTAAAATGGGTGCACCTATCCCAAAATGCTACCATTGGTTTTGAACCATGGCCACATCTTTGGTAGGGTTGCCAATGGATGACTCTTGTGCCTTTCATTCGGGCACCCTCCATGGCGGTTTTACCCCTTGGTTCTCCTGTAAACCAACCTCCCAGGGTACCCTCAAAAAGAGACACCGAACGGGGTCGAAAGCAAATGGGGTTTTTATTTTTGGCTGCGACAAAACAAAAGCCCTTCTGGTCCCCTGAACCGACCATCCAATGCTCGGTGTCCCATGGGTTTTTGCCTCGACGCCAACTCGGTGGCGAGATCTGCTCTGCTCATAGTTTCGCTTCGGGTGGTGGAATGGAAAACCCACCAGTTGGCCAAAAAGTGAAAAGTCCTGACATCCAAGCAGAATGCGCCAAAGGCAACGAACACATTTTTTTGGGATTCGCCGCTGTCCCCTTGTCCGGGCGAAAATCGAGGCGCGGGCGCCCGCCACACACCGTTCCCCCAGCAGCCTCAATCCGTGCCTGCGAAGAGATGTGGCCATGGGTCAGAATCTATGCCTCCATTTTGGGGGCGGATGCACACCCATGTACCACCTATTTTGATGTCACCAGGGGTACAGGGTTTTGACCCACAGCCATGTCTGAGAGAGACGTACCCCCAAGTGAACATCCCAATCCCGTGCACCTACCCCATAATGGTACCATTGGTTTTGACCCACAGCCATGTCTGAGAGAGACCCCTTCTGCGAAACCCGCTAAAGGGTTGATCAACATTCACTGAAAAACCCCCGTTGCTAGGGTTGATGCACAAAACACTGCAAGTAGGGAACAAGGGAAACTCTGCAAATTTCCGTGGCTTGTGTGGGTGTGTGGTGTGTTACTTGCATTGCAATACGGCGAACGGGGCATCCATATGGACCAAAATGGCCAGGGCTCTTAGCCAACCACATGGGGGTTGATCAATATTCCCTTGGACTCCCAACGACCATAGGAAACCTGTCCCATTTAAAACCATAAAAAACCATGGGAAACCATAGGAAACCATAGGAAACAATAGGAAACCATAGGAAACCATAGGAAACCAAAGGAAACCATAGGAAACCATAGGAAACCATAGGAAACCATAGGAAACCGCTTTTTAGCGGTGTTCCAACCACCAGTCATCCCATGCAAAGGCCGTTTTGATCAACCCCCAGCTAACACCCTGCACCTAAAACTATGGTCGGGGAGTTCCCTTTTGTAGGGGTAATTAGACCTTTCGGGTCCGATCGGTACAGAAGCTTTGTTGGCGGATGTTTGAGAATCTGGTTTCCTGGCGTTTCCATTCGCTGGTTCCCTAGAACTTTTCGAGAGTAACAATCAAGTAGCATACCCAACCAAATAGCTACAAGCTCGAAGATGTCAAAAAGAAATGGTTCGCAAATGTCAAGTGGCCAAGACGAGCGCATTCGGAGATGTCCAAAATGAGATGCAAACATTTTGCTGCGTCCTGTGACAAACCCAGCAGTATGCTTCGTCTGAGCGCTGGGCACGCTCAAACCAAAGACTGGGTTTGTGATCAATGGTCTCGACCTCGGCTCGCACATCAGTGACCATAGGTGTCCTTTTAGGGGAAATAGATGGCCCTGGTAGATGATTAAACCACCAGGTAAACCAGGGCCATCTATTTGTCTAGCAACACAACCAAAAAGAGAAAAAGGACACCTATGTCAGTGGCACTGCCCCTCAAAGGGGAGTGACCCTACCCGCCTCAAAGAAACAGAACAACTAAAGACTTGTCTCCTTGCAGCCTTAGAAAGCCCCCTGATTCCGCGGGTTTTGTGCTGCCTGATTTTCTCAAGCAATCTCGATGCACCTCTCAGTCATCACTGCTCAATAAGGCAAGGAAAACACACAAAGCCTGGGTCTGCGCGGCTTTCCGCGCAGTGGTCATTGTCCCTCAGATGCCGTTTGCTTGGGCCCCAACACGCAAAGGGCATTGAGATGAGTTGCAGTTGCTGCCAGAGCGGGCAGAATACTTAGTGGCTACCAAGGTGTGCCCGCTTGCTTGGTGTAGTCTCCCAAGAATAGCCAGAGATACTAACCACTTACCTGCCAATGAAAATATTCCACAAGCTGCAACAAGGGCTCCCCTAAAGGACCTTCATAGTGAGCTCGAAGGCAGACTTGTAGCTATAACCACCTGCACAACAAGTTTAACTTTGTGTTGCAGGTGGGGGGTTTCACACCTTTTCCCAAAAAAAATACGGGCTAGGTCCTCCAGTAGAGAGGTTAGAATAAGGGCACCAACTTTTACCTGTAGTCTATTTTAGTAGGGGCTTGCCCTCCCAACCAAAAAAGGGGTGAGACAGGTTGCACCTCGCTGGGCCTAGGTACCTCAGGCGCATCGAGACTCCGAGTCCTGGACGACTGCTGGCCAGTCAGGAAGCCAAGAAGCGTCCTGCGAGACGCTTCGCTTCCGGAGGAGCCGCCCGTCCGGGACACTCCCCCAGGATCCCCAGGTCTCCAAAATGAGCCGGGCCCCGCAAAAAGACCTCAGAATGAGCCGGGCGCTGTGAAAGGGAGCTGGAAAAGGGCACAGGCTCTTCTGCTGATACCTAACTTCTTTGGAAGAAACTCGGTCCCAACCGGCGTGTGCTAAGTGGGATGCGAGAATGGCACAAACAAAATGGGGCAACAAATAACATGTATGACGCAACACAGCACATGTTGCTTTTCCCCCAGCCAGAGCTTTGGGGCAGGCTCTTGGAGGTGCCATACAGCACATCTTTATTGGTCTGGAGATGAAGATGTCCGTATGAAGAACTAGAAAGCTGCGCCATCAAAAGAAGGCTGCCACTTGCAGAGTTGTTCTTTGTTTCGGGTGTGGCAACTCACGTTATTTCTGCAAACGCGAAAATGAATGCATGACGGGTTCAGACCCTATGCTTGCCGCAACTGGCCTCCGAAATCACATGTTGTTTTCCGACATGTTCCAAGTGTTGAACTTTCCACAAGGAGCCAAGTGTGGAAACATCTCGATTGGACCCCAGATTCTTGCCAAGAAGCTATCAGGACCCTCAAATTGCCCTGGTAAATTTGGATGTCGCAACCCAAAGTTGTTGCAACATCTAAGCATCAAGGACCCTCCATTGGTTTTGGTCGAACCGTAGCGATGCTTCAGGGCCTTGAACCTCCTTCGGGTCTTTTCGACCCCTTGGGTGCGGGTGACCGGCTGGGTGGAGTCCCAGTTTGTGAGGGTCGTTTGAGAGTCCCCCTCCAAATGCCTGCTTCCAGAAATGACTTTCTTGGAAAACCCGGCTTTGCAAGGCAAATACCTCCTTTTTTGGTAAGGATTGACATCATACCCTGTCATAGGGGGCCCTCCAAAAAAGCGGGTGCAGGAGGTCTTGGAAGTAGAACCTACCAACGCGGCCCCCGGCGCGCGAAGGTCTTTTCCCGCGCCTGGGACCAGTTCGTCTCCGGGGCTTCGCCTGGTCAAGTGGGCAAATTCTCCACTTGGGAAATGGGCTGGGCCCTCAACATACCTAACCTACCCCAAAGAAAGAAATTCCCTGTTTTGCGGACTATTGACCTTTTGGCAATCATTTGTACCAGACATACATTCTCCTCCGCAAGTTGTTGGTTGAAGTTCCAGGTGTGTTCTTTTGAAATCAGAAATGGGACATGCGTGCCGGAGATCAAGATGTTCGTTCACACACCAACAACCACTCACACAGGCTGACATGCGTATGTTCCTGCATTCACATGTGTCCAATGGTGAGGGTCAAGGGAAATGTGCGAATCTCCCAAATGTGTCCACGATCTGGTGAGTGTGACGGATAATCCCAACATCAGAGGCAGAACCGCACGTACGGATGCCGCCACATGTGTCTAGGATTGGTGAGGGTCAAGGAAAATATGCCAATCTGAAATCAGAAACCCCAGTTTCTACACATCCCATCAGAATTCATCATTGTTGCCACGGAAGATTTCCGCGGGCTCGAGGAAAATAGGCCCCTTTCTGTCAAAGTGGGTCATCCTCTCACTAGAGTATCATTCTCAAGGGGTGTCCTTGGCCTCTCGCACAAAGTGGCCCTGAAACCCTGTCTCCCACAACCACGGTGTGCAGTACCCCTTTACCCAACTGAACAAAATATGGGATCAAGCCTATCAACTCCGGCCAACCTTGCCATCCCAACTTGTGCACATGTTAATGCTTTTCCGGGGAAAAAACAAACACCATGTTGAAACATGTGGGCATAAGTTCTAAACATCTTTAGGTGGGGGGTCATGTCTACCAACCACTGTTGAGGCCATTTTTCAGGTGGTTGTTGGTATTAAAATGGCCATGTAAACCGCATCATTGATAAAAACCAAATTCCTTTTAGTCCCCATTTGAAGGGGGCCGTGGTTTGAACATACTTTGCCCAACCGTTTCCACCAGAGGCAGCCACCACCTCTTGGGCACCGCACAAAAAGATTCCAGCGACCGCGGTAATTTCACTTGAATGGCTGCCTCAGTCTGCTGGCATCCAGTCGGAACTAACCTTTGACCGCACGATCCACTTGAGCCACTAGGTCCTCCAGTGGAGAGATTAGAATAAGGGCCTTCTTGCTGTAGTCTATAAAAGGGCAGCTAGCTGCAGGACCTTGGCCATGTCTAGTCAGGGAAAATCGGTTGAGGCCCCCATGTCCCCTCTCAACTTGCTGTGGATGGACAAAATCCATTTCGCACCACCTAAGAAACCCTGGCTTCTGATGATTCCCCTGTAAATACCAACAAACGTTATGGTTTCCCAGTGGTGCGAAATGGATTCCGTAGGTGTGGTTCAAGAAATTGCCACAAAGGGGTTGCCCTGGCAAATGGAAGGGAGTAAAACCTACGGTCCCTGACTACTTTTGACCCATACCCAAATGAACCGTACTGTGGACGGACGCGCAATCCATTTCGCACCACTTGAGAAACCATCGTTTGTTGGTATTTGTGTTGGGGAATCGAATCATAGGCTTTCTGAACGGTGGCTAGGAGAATTTCGCAGCCATCCAAAGGAAACAGCACCTTTTCGGCCCAACCGAGCCAGACCAAACCAAACCAAACCAAACGAAGGTTTTTAGGGGATCCCAGCATCCCAGGCGACAAGATATCGACCATGCTGGCCATGCTCCACCCCACGTACCTGGACCCTCAAACTTCCAACCTCACATGGGCTCTTTTGCAACCCACAATGATGGTTTAAGGCTAGTTTGAGGCTCCAGGTGGGTGAATCTCAACATGTGCAAACTCCTTGCTTGCTGCTTTGAAGGGAACCCAAATGGAAAGCCGCTGGAGGCAGCCGAGTTTGAGAAAAATGCACATTCGAGAAACCGGCAAGCCATGCCATGGTTGCCTGGTTCTCAAGAGGAGACTTTGCAAGGCTTCGCTGACGTCCGAGCGCCTGCCCGGCCTCAAACTCGGTATCCAATAGAAATCTCTCGATTGGTTCGCTTGAAGCTATCCGGCTGACATGGTTATTAGGCTTTCGGGTGTCTCTGTTCTTGAGGGTATCCTTTTTGTGGTTTCTAAAAAACAATCACCAAAGGGACAGGCCTCAAGCTGAGCACGTCCAGCAACCAAATAGAAGCACTGAATAGAAATGTATGTTTGAAACAGATGCATGGCTTGTTTTGCGGTTTGCCGGCTGGTCCCATCAATACAAAATTCCACTTTTACCCCGCTAGAACTTACAAAAGGGGCGAAAGTATCTGGACTGGGGCTGTGGGGAACTTCGGAACCTGTTGGTCATGATTGTTCTCCCCATTCTTTCCAGGGATCCAAATCTTTCTAGAAAACCTCCGGAAACCCATGAACGGCCGGTTTTCGAAAAGAACGATGGTTGGACAGAATGGAGAATCAACCCTTAGAATTGTTATAGCTTTATACCATGAGTCATTCTTCAGTCCCATCTCTGATAGAGATATGGTTGTGTCTCAAAATTGCTGGACCAATTCCTCTTAGACGCCACTCGGGGCCATCGCAACCCTTTGAAACAGCCGGTGATGGTTTCCGATATTGGCCACAGCCGGTTGTTCCTGCAAGAACCCTTTGAGTGAAATAGCTCAAGGTCTTGATGTTGAAATGAATACCCAAACAAAACACCGGGCGAAGCGGCGAACCGCCGGACCGGCGAAGCGGCGAGGCGACGCCCAAGGCTCCGGGCACGACTCATCTTGTTCTCCCCCGGCGCGTGGATCACCACGCACCGCGAGTCCCCGCCTCCGAGGCAGCGAAACATCTGTCCGGCGGAACCGAAGCGGAGCGGATTCTCAGCGGGGAGCCCTGGACCCAAAAAAAAATCTGAAACTCTGGGGGTGACGTCCAATTGAAGAAGGGTAGTTTGAGGGATGCTTTGGACCTGGCACGCTTTCTCATAGATGCAGACAGCCGCTGGGTGAGAGCGGAAGCAGAACATGAATGCTTCCAGACCCCAGGAAGGCTGGCATTGTTTTTCGGCACGAGGAGAGCTGGGCAAACGGCTTTGGCAGCCTTCGATCGGAGCCTGGTGGCCATCAGCAGTCATCTTTTGCGATCCTTGATCAACTAGGTCCTCCAGTAGAGAGGTTAGAATAAGGGTACTAACTTGTTTCTGTAGTGTAGGGGAACCCTCCCCAAAAAAGGGTAAAAGAGCACTACTGGGGGACCTAGCCTTGTTTCAGTTTCAACGTACTGCGCGAGACAGGAGATTCAAGCTCACGGGTGACATGCACCTGCTCTGCCACGCGTATTTTTCTTTGCCTGTGAGCACAACAAGATGCGGCAGTAACGAGTGACAGAAGGACATTGAGCGATGCTGCAACAGGTGCAATCCAAGCTGTCCTTGAATAAACTTACCAGGAATCAAAATCCATATGTCCAAGGTGGCTGGTGTCAAGCTGAGGTCCGTGGTACCGGGAATCAGAGAATTGATGTCAGCGGAAAGTCGCAGTCATTGAAAGGCAAATGCCTCTGACGCCTGACAGATTCAAGAACGAACTCCAACAACTTCACCCATAGGTAAGGCAGTGGATCATGTCTAGGATAAGGTTTTCCTGGAGAAGACGACAACATGCAAACATCCAAGATTGGAGTTTGCTTTAGATGCCGAGGCTGTTCAGAGATTGGCGGAGTCTTTACCTTACTACGAATGTCTGGAAGTGCTTGAGCTATCGCAAATGAAGTGTGACAATGCCGTGCTGGTAGCGCTGTTAAACGCTTTCACACGGTTGCTGACAACATCCTCGCTTACAAATTGCATCCTCACAGCTGAAGTTGCGGCAAGCAGACATGATCTTGATTGCAATGTCCGAAGCTTGCCCCAAAATATGAGTTTGACATATCTTAGGCTAGATGTATTTGGCTACACGCCGAGAGCTCGCATTTGGAAGTATTGGTGGACGCCATGCGGAAGAACCTCTGGTGGATTTGGATCGCATGGGATGGGTTTTGTGCTTTGATTCGGGAGTGGCCAGGGCCGCAGGCAACAAGAAGCCAACATGTTTGGGGCATTTGGAACTCTGTGAGATGATCCGCAAGCAGCCTCGCAATGATGATGTAATGCATGTGAATGAGTTGTTTTTTTTGAGATTGCGAAGATCATTAGGCGCAATGCCGCCAAGCCACAAGAACAGACTGCAATGAGGAGGGCCATGCTCGTGCAGGAGAATTCCGCACTGTCCGAACTGAGGTTTCCAGGATGCCCGTTTGGCGATGAGGCCTAAGCTTTGGCACCGGCCCTCAAAGGGAACAAGACAGTGACAAAGATTCCTTTGTGTTCCGAACAGAGCCCTGAAGAACACATGTGTGACGGATATCGAATTGAATCACAATCAAATGGTGATGCTGGAGCAGAGGCTCTTGCAGAAGCCCTCAAGGAAAAACAAACCAGTGACAAAGATTCATTTGGATGGGCGACCGTGACTGAGATGAACTTGCATTCCAATCAGATCGTCGATGTTGGAGCAAAGGCTCTTGCAGAAGCCATGAAGGAGAACAGAACAGTGGCATGGATACATTTAGCTTTCAATCGGATTGGTGATGCTGGATCAATGGCTCTCGCAGATGCGTTGAAGGAGAACAACACAGAGGTGGACTTGTCCCACAAGATCGGTGATGGAACAACCGCTCTCGCACAAGCCATCAAGGTGAACAAGCGGGTGGCCAACATGAATTTGCTTTCCACTCAGGTTGGTGATGCTGGAGCCCAAGCTCTAGCAGAAGCGCTAAAAGAGAACAACACAGTGACACAGATTTCTTTATGGCCTTCAATAGGATCGGTGATGCTGGAGCGCAGGCTCTTGATGGCAAGGATGACTTTGCATCGCAATCAGATTGGTGCTGCTTTCCGCAGAAGCCCTTCACAAGAACAACACAGTGACAGAAATCCTTTTGCTATTGATCTCCAGAACCTGTTTGTGTAAATTGCCACTACGGCGATTCTGGGTCCGTTTGACTGGACGACCTTTTACTTTTCGGAAAGTGAGAGAGCTGTATTACTAAGGTCTTGGGTCTTGACTAGGCTCTGCAGAATCGACGTGAAACGGATTGACTTGCTGGCATTTGTTGGTGTTTCAGTGCGGGTCAAAATCGACCACTTGCACCGATGGCGGATTTTCATGGCCACATTTATGTTTCGCCACAGATTCCAAGGACCTCTTTTTGAGGTCTGGGGGCGCCAACCTTCCTAACCACAACTTTTCCGCTGGCTTTCTTGCGGGGAGGAATCACTCAGGACCCACTTGAAGGATTCGTGCCAACCCGGTGGATCTTGGCTCCCCCCCTGAATGAGAATGACCAGATGTTCGGGTTGACCAAATTATGTCGTCGAGCCAAAAGGAGCCAGCCCCCAGGTTGTTTTGGGGGTGAGAAAAGGGGGCAAACTTGGGAGCGTCTCTCGATGGTACCCTTTTTGGGCTCTTTGCGGTTGGTTTAAAAGGGACATTTCAAAAGGAAAACCACATCTTTCCTTTTGGTTGGGGGGAGCAGGGTCCCCTAAAAGAAATGTGCAAAGTGGCAGCAACAATGGGGGGGTTTTATATGTGGGCGCTCCTGAACAGTTTCCAGCTGCAGATTTTTCCCCCGGATGATGCAGGTGGCTTCCCTTCTTGAGCTGTAGCCCCGAATCCGAAGGCCGGCTTGGCGACCGGAGTGAGTGATCGATCACCCGGGGCGCCAGGCAATTCACCAGTTTCGCCGAGTAGGTCCCATCGCCTCAGAGCTCGCGCCTTCGAGGAAGCCCAAAAGAAGGAGCCCGCCCGAGCCAAGCAAAACGATGGCTGAAAAAAAAATATTCGTCAGGCTCCATGTTGGGGTACATCGAAAGAGCCCGGTTTGAAGGTGGTTTCAATCAAAATCAAAAGGCAACCAATTTGGGGGATCCCGAAAGCTTCCCAAACACCGCGCATGGACCCTCCGACCCCTCTCGGGGACACCCCGGGCCTTCAAATATCCTCTTTTCGAAAGCCCAGGAGTAGTTGGGAGCGTTTCGGTTAACCCCATTTCTCGACATACCCAAGTAACTCCGCCAAAAAACAAAACAATCTCAGCGAGCTGTGACCTAGGCTACCAACAACTTGGCCGAGACCAGTTCGTCCGAAGCAGAAAGAACAATGCAAAAACCTGCTCCCCAAGTTGAAAAACCGCGGCACGGCTTCCCTTCGATTGCAACCATCTTGCTGGTGCCCAGTAGGGAATGACCCAGCGTTTGGGAATGAAGGCCCTGAAAGGAAACCGTCAGGGATGTTCTCTCGGGCTCATTCCAACTCATTCCCCTGCCTGCTTTGCCGGGAAGTACTGAAGGCGCCCCTTGAAAGAGGGAGGTGGGGTCAACAAGAAGCAACTGGGCGTGACAAATTAGGGCACTCCCCAAAAATCTTATGCGCAACGGCTTTGCCTGTTGGTTTCCCTTTAAAGGTACCAACCCAAGAAACCACTCGCCCAACTGGACATATTGTTCTATATTGTACGGGTGTGTCGCTTTTAGGGGACCCCAAAACAATGCCGGTGTCCTTGGTTTTCCTTTAAGCTCACTTGCACTCCCCTTTTGGTTTCCCAGAATCTCAAGTCATTTCCCTCCATTTCCCACAACTTCCCACAGGTTTCCGACACTTTCCAACTTCATTTCCCTCGAGCTCCCTTCCAGTTCTTCCACAAGAAGGTAAATCGCCCGTAATGTTGACCCTTGATTAATAACCCCCCCAGCGAATGACAATCAGGGGAGGCCCCCCCAATAAAAATGGATTCACACCTAAAAAGTGATCCCCTCAAATTGAAGTGGGGGGAGTTTATGAATCAGGGCTTAGCCTGATGTAGGATGATTCGCTCCTCGCTTCTTTCCCAGCACCCGGGCTGCGCGCGGTTCCGCGCTGCGAGCGCGCCCACCGCGGTGCTCCCCGCGTTCCCAGACTTGACTTGGCCTCGAAAGGCTTTGCTTTCGAAGCCGAGACTTACTTGGATCAACCTACCCTCCCACCGATTAACATGGACCTGACCGGCAGGGAGCCTTCAAACGGAAAGTGGTCTTCCAAAACCCTCCCGTCAGGTTCCATGTGAATTGGTGGGAAGGTACTTAGTAGGTTCTTACCATGAATATAAGCCAACTAACCCCAAATACCAACCAGTTATAACCTTTGCTATATGGGTTGAACATCCAAGTAGGTTGCAACCAATTAGCACCAAACGCGGGCCGGGCTTGGGCAACAATGTTTCTACCTTGGCTTGGAAACCTAACAAACTCTCATTTTAGCCACTCCTTCAGAACGTGGAACTCACAAAACCATCATCTCGTCCCCCCCTATAGAAAAACCCGGCATTGAAATTGGTCAAGAGCCTTAACAGGGCGGACACCTGATATCCGCACCCCCAAAATGGTGAAGCGTAAGTTTCACTTACCGGCTTTTCAGCAAGCGCCACCCTCAAACTACCCTTAAACGCGTGCGAATTCCCCCCTTGTCTATGCTCAGTTGCCCAAGGGACCTGGAGTATAGAAGGTTAACCTTGTGGGGTCATGGCTTAAAATGGATAGCCAAAAGGGGAAACTAAAAGTTCAGATCCTGTCGATTCGCTTTTGTTGCAATTAGCGGCTACGCTGAAGGAATACAGCAAGGAACTTTCACAAGGGTGCCTTGGGCCAGCAAAAGAACGAAGGACCTCTACGTAGACCATCGCAAACTACTCATAAGCAAGGGAACTCACCAACAACTCACCAACCATGATCTTGGGTTGCAACTCACCCCCCTTGTTAAGTTGCACTTTATCACTTTTTGAGGGTGCTGGTCTACCCATCTGCCACCCTTGGGGGGTTTCCCAGGTCTCGGAATTCGCCGAGAAATCGCGGAGTTCGGCTTCGGCTTCCGGGCACAGGTGGTCCCGCAGCCGGCTGTCCACGGTGCGGAAGGCCCTACGGATACGCCTCGATCGAAACGGCGATCAGCGGATCCGCGAAAGACAGTTTGCACCCGAAAGAACTGAAAGGGAATCAAGGGTAGCTTTGGGGGGTGGTTAAAGGAAAACGCGGGGAGCACTAAGCAGACACCCGTTTTAGGGTACCGGGACCCGCAAACTACTTGCAACCCGAAACTGTGGTCGGTGAATTCCAAATCCCTTTTGGCTTCCCTTCTCATAGCCAGCTGAAATGGCGACCCTCACAACAGCCACCCACCCAAAACATCCTCAGTAGGTACCACCCCCCCCCCCGTTTTGTGCTGGCAAGATTGCTTTGGGTAATCCTCTTTTGGCCCAAAGCTACACCCCCCTGATTTGAGTTTCCCTCTTTCTGGCGACAGGTTCCCGATGAAATGGGGCACTCCCTGTTCATCAGGCGGGCTTATTTTCATCCTGCGTTCCCCTTGGCCCAGCAAATTGACGGCCCCAGCTTGTTTGGCCCAACCTTCAGGATGGTCCATATTTAGCCTTAACCTTATGGAAAACACCGCTGAGATCCCAATTTGATCTGGGTCTTCACTTACCGAGGTTGCCCGCAAGACAGATCTGTTGAAAGTATTGTGCCTTGGATTAATACCGCGGATGGACGAAATGCTGCAGTAAAGCCTGGAATAATTTGATTCCCCCTGTAAATATCAACAAAGAATGGCTTCCCATGGTTTCAACTTGGTGCAGAATTTCGTCCATCCACAGTAGTGGATCAAATGGCTTCAAAATGCCGCTTGGTGCAATTGCTGTTGGGGCTGGGCCGATTCACATTTGGAACGACATTTGCTTTCTTTTGGCAATGACCATGGTTTGACCCGGCCCTTGGTACGCTTGAAAGCGAAATTCGCATGTTTGCAAATAATGGCCAACATCTCTGAACAATATAGCAGCAAGTGCACAGACATGCCATTGGACACGAAGTGAGTTGTGGTTGGCAAGTTGGAGAAGCAGCAAAATTATTCAAACAACACATATTTCACACACAGTCTTGATACCACAAGGCACTGTTTTGGCTGGATATTCTGGAGTCTGGGTGCCTATCGGCAACACTGTCTTGACATTTGCATATCTGCCCCAAAAATGCCTAATTTGACAAGTCTCCGTAAACTGCCATAAACCAAGTACTGGATAGAAAAGCGGCCTAAGCTAAGAAGCATTGGCAATATTAAAGCAATGCTTAGGTCATCCAAGCTTTTTGCCAGACCTTTATAGAGGACCGAGCACTGTTTTCACTGTTCTGGGGGAGGGGGCGCGGCCGCACTAAACAAGGGCCCACACGTTCACATAAGCCCTTTTTCACCTTGTCTTGGTTCAAAAGGAAACCGCCCTTTTTTGCGGGCCCCCCCAGTTTCCCGTGGGTGAGAAACCTTCTTCTCGTGCTGGAAACCGCTTCTTCCGCGTGGGAAAAAAGCGACCCGCCTGTCGGACGGTAGCTTGTCATCGCTGGGGCTGAATTCCTGCGGCATCCGGCTAAACATGTGGATGGTGGCAAAGTCCGGAAAATCGCCCCCTTCCGTTTCTGATGATTCGACCCCGTACATTCCCCATTCTGTTCAAACCAGCTGTTTTTTTCCCAGGGTGTTTGGTGGTTTTCTAGAAAGATCCGGATCCCTGGAAAGAATGGACATGGAAGCTACCCTTAGAACAAGCTCATTTCGTGGTGCGAGACGCGGATTTCGCATCCAGAAAGGTATGGCGCAGGGCAGCTTCTCAGAGCGGATCTAAAGGAAACCCCCAACGGAAACCGTGGGCCATGTTGGAACCGCTTGATAAACACCCAAATGGGCAGCTTCGATGTTGTTAATAAAAAAAAAAAAAAAAAAAAAAAAAACTCGCCCCAAAAGAGGGGTGCCTTCAAGAAAACACTGTGCTCCTTCTGAATTCACGAAGAACCCTTGCCATCTGGTGCTCAGGCTTCTCATCTCGAGACAAACCCAGCGCAAACCTTCCTTTCACACGATGTCAAAAATAAGAAACGACGCCAAAATGGAACCCTGCATGCCCCAAACATGAAACGAACCCCGAAAACTGGAACCCACAAATATGGGAAGTTCCCCAAAAATCTGGAAACCCCACATTGGCAATTCACAAAATGTAGGGACCCCCCGGCTTTCACCGGCTATTGGTGTGTCTTTTGTTTGCGGGTACCTGCTTTTGTGGTATACAAGGGAAGCCAAGAAGAAGGCCGCCATTTTGGGGGACCCGGACCCCAAAAAAGGACGAGCCACCTTTTGTGGGTGGCTCCTCTCTTTTTTGCCCCTCATTTTGGGTTGGTTTTCCTTTTGGTTCCCCTAAAAAAATATGGGTGTGTCGGTTTTAAGTGAACCCCCCCACAAATGGCGCAACTGCTTTCTTTTGGGTTTCTCTTTAAACGGCCGACAAACCGCAGGCCCTCTTTTCCTTGAGCCAACAAAAGGTCGAGTTAGGGGGTTTCCCTTCAAACCAAACCCCACAAGGGGTACCAAAGAAACCACACCCCCAACCTGGAAACCCCCAAAAAATGCCAAAGCGTTCTTGTTGGTTTCCTCTAAACATGATTGGAGTTTGGCCCAGTTATAGAATGTACATCTTATTCTTTGCTACACTTTGAGCCAAAATGTAACATGCAAAATGTATCCGACGTCTATTTCAGTAAAGCCAAGCAAAAAACAGAAACAAAAAACACAAACACACCCAACAAACACCAAAAAACACCAAAACACCGAGGAACAAAAGTAAGAAACACCAAAAAGCCGTCGGTTCGAAACGGATGCCTTGGACCCGAAGAGCTCAGCCGCGAAGCGGCTGGCGCAGTCCCCCCGATGCCCGTCGAAGACCTCACGGTCCACAGCGGCGGGGTGCCACTAGGCGCCTTTTGTCTTTTGTTTGCTTGTTTTTTTTGGTTGGGGGGGGGGTCCATTTGGGGGTCTGTTTTATGCCCTTTGTTTGTGGGATGGTCTTAGTTTTGCTCACGGCGACGGTTGCCACGCGGGAGAATTCGTCGGTTTTCATGTTTTTCGCTCCTTCAAAAACAAACTCCGCTACACGACAACCTCTGCGGGTGGGGGTGGGGTGGGTTGAGGTGGGGTGGGGGGGTAAGAGCGCTCGTAGCACGCTTGACTTGGAGTTAAACTTTCCGCCAGTGGCAGGTCGCGCTTGCAGCCACCCCTGCACGCAGTAGTTACGCGTTTCTCGTCGTGCGTTCATGTCCGCGGGGGGGTGGGGTGGGATGGGGTGGGGTGGGGTGGGGGGGGGGTTAAGAGCGCTCGTAGCACGCTTGACTTGGAGTTAAATCTTCCGCTAGTGGCAGGTCACGTTGACCGCCGCCTGCGCGCAGTAGTTTCGCGTTTCTCGTCCTGCGTTCATGTTTGCCGGAGGGGTGTCAAAGAGCCACTGCTGGCTGGGACACAGCTGCTAGATAGATGCTGGGGGATGTGTAAAGACGTCATGCTCAACCAGATAAGCTCTAAAAGTGCTAAGTCTGGCCTGCTGAATGAGGAGGTGTGGCAGTGGGCGTACAGCTTCCAGTTCAGATACGATGCTGGAGCGGACCTGTGGTTTAAGATAGCAGCAAACCGAAGCGGTGTGTGTGAAACTTGCAACGGCGGCCCGCGTGGCTAACATCGCCGTGACCTTGTGTTTGGAGGGAAGCGGACCCCCAAGATCCACCAAGATGGGGCATCCTCAAAAAGAAGACAGCCCCATTTAGAGCTTCCCCAACACCAACAGCTGTGGGGTCCATGTTGAGAAACTCCCAAATGGATCAATCGGAGACAGACATAATTTGACACCTCATATGTTTGGTCGCCTTTGCAAGGGCTCCAAATCCCACCCGCCAATCCAAACCTAAGGTTTACCCGAAACCCGCTACTTCCTCTCGAATCGAAGCACTGGCAAGACTACGGTGGATGCCATAAATATTGCATGTTTTCTTGAACAAGTCGGAAACCCTGTAAGTTCCCATCATTTGTGGTTGGTTTACTTGAGGCCATCCCTTCTGAGGTGGCAAGAAAAGGACACCGCAAACCACCTTCTTCCCGTTTTGTCTGTTTGTTTGTTTATTTGCTTTTTGTGTTTTTTTTTTGGGGGGAGGGGGCGAGGAGGGGTCCGATCCCGATTCTGACACAAATGGCAGTCGGGTTTCCCTGGGGCCGGCGCCCAGAAGTAGACGGTTTGCCCCTCCGAGGTGATGGCGTAGGCCTAGCGAGGCCAGGGTTGGCATCTTCCGGCGGAGTTGTTTTCTTCCCTCAAAAGGCATCGGTGGTTTGGAGGCCTGGATAAAACCCAGATACCCTCTCGAACCCGAGGTCCCAATCGTCAACCCCTTGCCGCGGATCCTCAAAGCAAACTCGAACTCGCCCCTTTTCCCCCGCGAGTTCGAAAGGCATGGTCGAATGGGCAACTGCGTTCGGTGTGTAACACCCTGGATAGGCAGGGAAGGAGTTGGAATCCTAAAAAGCCATCTCCTATGGTTTCCTTTAAGGGAACCCCTAGCACATTCCCAAAACCCTGGGTCATTCCCCACTTAGCACCAGCTAGAAAAAGGGAGAATAGATTTGCAGTTCCCAGGGTTGTGAAAATTCACACATGGAGAGCCTTCTAAATGACTCATTCTCCATTGAAAGGGAGGTTAAAAGTGGTATCACAGTGGCAACCAGCCGAAATCCCCACAATCCTGTCCCTATGGGATACAGCACTTGGGGGTGTCTGCTTTTGAGGGTACCCCTGTTGTGTAGTTCTTACAGGAAACCAAAAGGAAAACCACAATTTGGAGGGTCCCCTTAAACAAAAGCACCCTGATTTACTTCCTCGGGAAAAAATACTTCCGTTAAACCTAGGGAGACCCCAAAGACATCGGGTGAGTTCATTGGAACGGGTTAAGACAACTGTCTAAACTTGGGCGCCAGCTCCTTGTCGAATGCTCAAGGTGTTGTTGTTTAAACAACGCCCCTGTGGTTTCCTGTCAAAGGAGACCAGAAAATGGGTTTCACAATTTGTGCAACCAACCTAGTCTAAATGGATCTACAAAATTATAAAACTGAATAAAGGATCCCCAAGTAGGGCGCTCGTTTTACCCCCGAATCCTCGTTCACCTGTCCACAAATGACTCGCCTATCCTCGACCTGCTTGGACGTTCAACCAACGTCAGGTAAGTAGGTCATAACCATGCTAAGCCAACCAGTTGTAACCTTGGTTTATAACCTACTTACCCTTCCTCCCACTAACAGTTGGCACCAATAGGAGGTACCTGAAAGATCCATTTCCTCTTGCTGGGACCCGGGTCCTTGTCAGGTGCCACGACAACGCAGGGAGGGAGCCTGACGTATCTCCGAGTCCCGCGCATCTTCGTAGCTTGGGCGAAGGCCCTGGGTTTCAGCAACTGCGCTCCTGCGACCGGCCCGGATTCGATTCCCGTGGTGGCGATTTTCAGGAGAAGGGACTCATTCAAAATACATCGGCCAGTCGGGTAGAAACCTATCGGACCCCCTAAAAGCGGCTTTCAATATCAGCCACAAACAGGTTCAAGAAGCCTTTGAATTCGCTATGTGAAGTTCTGGGTAGTTTTTGTAAATAGAAAATACCAGGCAAAACCGGGTTTTGCATATGGCTCACTTGTTGCCAAAGACTGCCCTTTTGCTCTCAGGACAGGACTTCTCTTTCAAACAACTTCCAGGACATCTCGGAATTTCTGCCTACGGATCGGTCACGGGCTCTCACAAAAGGCTTCTGTAAAGTTGAGGTCCAAAGCCAAAATCCATGAAAGTCGCAAAAAGCCCCTGACTCGAGAGTCCTTTCTGCTTCGGGTTCAAGCGCAGACACTCCAATGTAAGCGATATTTCCTGCCATTCGCGAACGTAGGCCTGAGAAGCTCTGTGAGACCAATGTTACCCTGAGAGGCTACATTTGAAAAGTCGACAAGCTCGACAAATGCGTGTTCGACATCTATGTGGGAAACAAATCACGCTAGATCACGCCAAATCGTGGTCGTAGATGGATGTACCTCAAAATCGGCATACATTGGGCCCAGTTGTATGTCAAAAATGGCATACAATCAGTTCGACAATCAAGCTCAATCACGCTCAGTCACGCTGAAATGCGCTATGGTGATAGCTTCCGACAAGTCAGCCCCAGCCGTGTGACGGACAATGTTGGCGACGTCGCTTCCTTGAGGCAAAAGCAAAGGATACGCTTGGCTACATAGACGGGTTCACAAGACAGACATAGGGGATCCTGAGAAACCTCCAGCTCACCCGCATCTTTTTAGAAGCAATCGAGCGCCATCTGAATCACCGTACTGTCACCGCCTTCCTGTGGATGGCCCCAAGTCACTACAGAGCCATCGTCCAGGATGGCAGCAAAAGCCGCATCAGTAGCTTGGATGCGCTCTACCCGTATCAGCTGGTCGTTAACCCCTGTGCTGTCACCGCCATAGTCTGGATCGCCCCAAGCCATCGCAGAGCCATCGTCACGGATAGCAGCAAAGGCACCATAAGTCGCTTGAATCTCACGGACCTTCGTCAACTGCTCTTTCACCCTGATGCTGCTCCCACCATGGCGCGGGTTGCCCCAAGTCACCACAGAACCATTGTCCAGAATGGCAGCAAAAGCACAGGCGGTTGCTTGAATCTTCTCGACCCAAGCGAGCTGATCTTGCACCATGCAGTTGTCCCCGCCATACTCTGCATCGCCCCAAGTGACCACAGAGCCATTTTGCAAAATCGCGGCAAACGCTCCAAAAGATGCTTGGATGTGTTGGACTTGCGTTAGCTGGTCTTGCACCCTGCTGCTGTCACCACCATAATATGGATCGCCCCAAGCCACCACACAACCGTTGTCTAGGATGGCAGCAAAAGCACTATCAGTTGCTTGGATCTGCTGAACACGTATCAGCTGCTCTTGAACCCGTGCGCTGTCACCACCATAGTCCTCATCGCCCCAAGTGACCACAGAGCCATTGTCCAAAATGGCAGCAAAAGCACCTCCTGCTGATTGAATCTTTTTGACCCCAGTGAGCTCGTTTTGCACCGAGCTGCTGTCACTACCCTGGTCTGGATTGCCCCAAGTGACCACAGAGCCAGTGTCCAAGATGGCAGCAAAAGCTCCGTCTGTAGCTTGAATCGCCTGGGCCCGAGTGAGCTCGTTTTGCACTGCGCTGCTGTCACCGCCATGTTCTGGATCGCCCCAAGTCACCACAGAGCCATCGTCAAGGATGGCAGCAAAGGCTCCAAGAGATGCTTGGATCTGCTGGACTTGTGCTAGGTGTTGCACCCCGCTGCTGTCACCACAATGGCCGGATTGCCCCAAGTGATCACGGAGCCATCATCCTGAGGCAGACTTAGACCCCCTGCATGTCTTTTGGCAGGCAAGGGAAAAAAACGAAAACCCAGAAAGGCCCAAAAGTGAAAACGGTACCCCAGTGGATCCCGGTCACCACTATAGCACGCTGCTTTTGCTTTTTCAAGGCTGGTTGGTTGCCTACCAAGCCAGGTACTCCGGAATCACTGGGACCTTTCTGTACCGAGTCTGGCAATGCCTGTCCTGGATTGCAGCAAAAGCTGAGGCGCTTGCTTGGATCTGCGAAACGCGCGAGAGCTCTCGTACCGTGCCGCTGTCTCCGCCAACGTCTGGCTTGCCCCAAGTAAGCACAGCCTCAAGGACACGGAAACAAAAGGTGAGCGCCGGACCAGGGACCACCAAAATGGGTACCCTCCCTTCCACTAACGTAGCACCTCGCAGGGGGTCCTTTAAGAGGAAACTGATCTTCCAGGTACCTTCCCGCAGGTGCTATGTTTGTTGGAGGAAGGGTATGTCTTGTAAAAGGATAACACACCTTTCATTTGTTGTTGTGGGGGGGGGGCCGAAAAAGGAAACACACCCAAATGTACCATGGAAAAACCCAAAGGTCAAAAGCATAGGTGACCTTTTGGAAGCATAGATTGTTGTTTGTTTTTTGCTTTTTCCCCCTGATAAATGGGCCCTAACCCGTTTTTTTCCTGTTACATGGGCCTACCCATCTCAACCAGTCGAGCCCATCTAGTTCTCACCAAACCAACCTGAGACCACCAAAGAGGTCAAATCCGGTGGATTCGCAGGCGCCTGAGCAACTCCTCCTTGGGCATGAAGCGCAAAAGCGCCCGAATCCGTGGCAGCTACTTGGACCGATGCCGCAATCACAGCAAGCCTGTCCCCGGCCCGCACCCCAGCCTCACGAGGCACTCAACTCAATTTGGCTGTGGCTCAAAAACATGGCTTAAAAATGGCACCTTGGCAAATGGAGCCAAAGACTTAAACCCATTCCAAGCCAAAAATCCACAAGACTTCTTCAAGTCTCCTTTTTCCCCAACAGCAGGCCCACATTTTGGCAGGGGTGGCTCAGCTTTCAGTGATTCAGGGAGAGTGCCGGAGGTTCAGTTCCTGGGGTTGGGGTTCAGCCCCCCGTTTTGTTTGGTCCGTTTTACAAGGGAATCCGTGGGTAGGGGGGGTTTGACACCCAAGGTGTCCAGGATGTTCATATATCTTTCCAGGCGTCAAGAAAAGCCTGCGGTACCCAGTGATGACTAACTTGGACCCATGCCCGAATCAACCATACCACAGCAACTTTGGCCCAACCTCACTTGAAAAACCGCCCAAGCCGGCGCGCCAATGCAAAGCTTGGATGTTCAACCTACTCAGCAAGGCTACCATGGTTTTGTTCGCCACTTACCAGCCAGCCTTGGCTATAGCCTAAGCCCAAGAAAGCGAGAGGCATTTGGGAAGCCAAATCACGCCGAATCAACGAGAATCGTTGCGAGAATCGCCTCACAGGTGCACGCACCGTGCTTCCCATGTTCCGAGACCAGACTCAACCGCCGCTTCAGCTGCCGCTGCGCCTCTGACCTCTGGATACACATAATGCATAACAAGAACAATAAGAAGAAGAACCAGAATCATAATATTGGGAATAAGAAATACAAATAAGAATAATTGGTGATGATGATGATGATGATGATGATGATGATGATGGTCATATGATCATGATGATAACGATGATCATGTGGATGGACGAAATCCTGCACCGCCTAAGAAAGCTTGGAATGATGATTACCCTGCAAGTACCAACAAACAATGGTTTCAACCACGGTTTCAGAGTGGTGCGAAATGGATTTCGCAACCGTCCACCGTATTTTTTGACAACCCCAGCCATATGTCACAAACAAATCCCCCTCCCCTCCCCCCCCCGCGTCGCGAAACTTTCCGCGCCAACTCGCCAAGGGGCCGCTCGGCGACGCTCGACTCGGGCGAGAGCGAGACACTGCAGCTGCCGCTGGGAAGGCACACATCGCGCATGGAGCGAAGGGGCGGCAAACTGAGCGGACGGCGCGGTTGTTCGGATCTTGCCTGAGCCACGTGCTCAAACCCGGGTAGATGAAGGTTAGTAAGGGACAATCCCCTTGCCAGAAACAGCTGCAGATATCCGCCTTCTCAATTCTTGAAGCATGGTTCTGGGTCGTCCATTTTGATACCGGGTTTTGATTGTGACTCACCTGGACCCAGCAGAAATTACACTTAAACACGGGGAATTGTCCCTAGACCCTCCAAAAAATGACCCCTTAAACATGGGAACATGGCAGCCAAAAAAATAAATGACCCTTAAAGATGGGGGGGATATCGCAACCCAACATCCATGGTTGCTGAATTCTTTCGGGTCATACTATTAAGACTTTAAAAAGCACAGAAGCACAGGAACCCGCTCAAGTTTGCCCCCCCTCCCTTCCCCCTGCAAAAAAAGGGGGGTATCCTTCAGTGTGGTGGAACAAGTCCTGCTTCCGGCCGACGAAGAGTGGTTTTTCAGGAGCCCGCCCCGTTCGCAAGAAAGCTGCGCTGGCTTGACAAGGTCCCTTCTGGAGTCCTGGAGCATTCCGAATGAATCAGCCTTCGGGGCTCAAAGGAAGCCGCTATCCCGCTTGGCTGAGGCGATCAATCGCCTCATCTCTCTCAAGGGTGATGGCAATGAAAGTCACTTGAAAGCTATGTGATGTGCGCTTAGATCATAGTCCTGGGTTCTACCCAGGAGCTCTGCCACTTAGGGCGAGTCTGTATCCGACCTCAGAGCCCGGAGCCCTGAGCCCCAAATGGCTGGTCAAAAACTAGGGTAACCCCAAAATGGCTTGCCCTGGTAAAATGGAACCAAGGAGAAGCCTGCGGTCCGAGTCGGTTGTTAGTTTTGACCCATGCCCAAATCGTTTTTGCCAAAGGAGCTGCCGGCCTGCCAGGCCCAGCATGTCCGGAAGCTCACGGGGAAAAAACAACAAAAAACAGACCCATTTTTTGAGGCCGTGAGGAGTGACAGAAAGAACATGCATCACATTGCAAGCATAGAACGCGCTACATTTGACCCAGGCTCAACTGGGAATAGTACTACAAAGGGAGAGCGCCATCTGGTATAAGGATTAAAGATCGATTTGGAGCCCAAATCAGTTCGAAAACAGCAATCCCTGCAACCCTTCCGGGGAAAAAGCTTTCGAAGCCACAAAGGATCACAAAGGGTATGTGTGAAAATGGGGGGACTCCAAAATAGGTGGTTTCCTTTTGGTTTCCCTTCAAAGCCCACCCAACAAGTGGTGCCCTCAAAAAAACACAAAACCAAAAAACCAAAAACCCACAAACCGACGCCTCCTCCCTGCCCTTGCCCTTGCACCTGAAGATGGGGCCTCCATGACAGTGCACCTGGCATGGGTGGCAGTGCTGGTTTGGGGGGTGTGGAGCTTGGGTGGTTCAACCACAAGAACTAGGGCTTCACATCCCACCAATCCAAACCACCAAATAGATGGGTTACCTGAGACCGGCAACCAAGCCAACCATGTCTTGTTTCTATCCCATCCATTCTGGGCGTACGAACCAAACGCCAAGCGAATCCGCTGCCGCGAAGCGGGCGGCCACAGACGTGTTCGATGCGCCATGTCGTGGCTATGAGTTTCAATCGACCAAAATGTGGAAAAGTGGTTGGTGGACATAAATAAGTCCCTGAATTCTCATGTCCACCATTCCAGTCCCCAATAAACAAATAAAATACAACACAACTTCCCCCCCTGCAGGTTGTCAAACAAACTACCTGAAATCTTGGTTGACGTTGGAAGGGGAGCAGAAAGTTTTAACATGTTGCAGTTCAGTGGGGATTTCAACCACTGAAGCACAATAAGCAAGATGTAACATGTTTCCCAACAACAGCCATGAAATGTTCTTTTCAACAGCGTCAAGGCCAGGAATTTGCGACCTTTAGCTCTTGGAGCCGGAGGTGCGATGCGCCTCTCAAAGCCGTCGCTGGTCCACACAGCTTTTCCCCGTCAGTTTGGAGCTTTCCCCGTGGTTGGAGCGAGTGGGGGGAAGTTCACCCAGGGTCCCCCCCCGCATTTTTCAGAGGGAGGCTCGTCTGTGTTGGTTTTGGTACCTGGTTTAAACCAAAAGGACACCGACCAGTTTGGGGGCTCCTCCTAACACAGCCAAATGCGGGAACCCTCTGGAACTCTCCCTGAAACCACCCTTTCCGAGCCTTGTTCTCGACCCCAAAAAGCGTGTTCGGCGGCTGCTGAAGCAAAAAAAATAACAAAACACCCCCCCCCAAAAAAAAAAAAAAAACGGAGAAAAACAAGAAGAGAAAAAGAAGAAGAAGAAGAAAAAACACTGGCCGCCGGCGGATAATTTTTTTCGCCGGCCTCGACGGGCAACTGGGACGGGCTCGTGGCGGGGGCAGCCACCATGGTGCATCACTGGACTTCGTCGTCTTCGGGCCTCGACGCCGGAGAATTCTCGGCACGGGACGTGCGAATGCTCGGACACCCCGGGCCCCCCCCCGAAAAAGGAGAAGAAAAAAAACGGTGAAGGGAGACACGCGGGTCTCTGTCATTTTTGGAGGGGACCAGCCCCCCACCCCCCCCCCCAAAAAAAAAAAGAGGTGGTGTTCCTATTTGTGTCCCTTTTTTTCAAACCACAAAAAGGAGGGGCACCCTCAAAAACGGCACACCCACGACCACAAAGAACGCAAGAAAGAGCTTGGGGAGTTCCAAAGTCGACGCCTGCAACCGTTCTTGGAGTTTCTGGTGCCCAGAGCATGAACCGGAAGCTAATACCGTGGACAGAATCCGCCCTGCACCAGTTGGGAGAAATGAAACCCCGTGAATACTGGGAGAATACCGATACAAGCCACCTACCAACTGGTGCAGGATGCTGTGTCCAGAGTAGGAAAGGGGCGCGTCTGATGTTTCATCGAAGCCATACACAAAGTTGCCGGAGCCATCACTTGACGTTTCTGGGGGATGCGCCTGCACCAAAAATTGTCCCACTTTAAGGGCGCGATCGATTTGTTAGTTTTGTTTTAATGTCGGAGCTTCAACTCAAAAGTGGTTGCTCCAAGTTCTGTCCACCAAAGCTTCGGTTCCAGATCTTCAAGAGGAATTGTTCTTCTTGGGCTCGAACAAAATGCTCCAAGCTTCGGTGGCCATGGGGAAAAAAGGGTTGACCTCTGTTTTGGCTGACTTCAAAGGGGAACCCTCCAAACAGAACTCCAAGGATGTCTGGGAGGCAGAAGCTGACATCCCCGCCGTCACTTTATGCAGTCGCCCTAATTGAAGGCCCTAAACATGGAAACTTCGTGAGCTCCCTGATAGAATTCAGCGAGTCTACACGATTGCTGCCGCCAAATTTTCCCCAGCGCTTCACAGTTCCGCCCTCTATTGGGTTGGCCTTTGTGTGGTTATGGGAACTACTGGCGAGATACCAATATAGTAGGTATAACCAAGCTGGTTACCAACTGTACAGGGAACCGGAAGCACTGGGGGGCTTATTTGCAGTTTTCCAGCTCTTGATTCCCTGCAAGTAAAGCAACCGTTAAATTGGGCAAATCACGTGTTATTGTTCCCTTGCAAGCTGTGAGGAGTCAAAATTCCGAAACTCCTCAAATGGCCATGGGTCAAAGTCCGTACCCCCAGTGAACATCCCAATCCCCACTAAAAAAACTAAAATGGGTGGTGAATTCACCTACCCCAAAATGGGATCCCATTGGTTTTGACCAGCCAAATGGAAACCGCCCGGGCCCCATTTGCTCGTTCCATCTGCTTGTGACCTGCCCCTCCCCCCCCCTCAGCTGGCTGGGCCCCCGGCGAACTTTGTGCATGCCAAGGGCGCGGATTTTCATGCAGGCGGGCGGCTGGAAGCCAAAAGAGTGAAAACAGCCGGCGGCGTGCGGCAGCAGTTTCTTGGTCAACTTTTGGGGGGTTTAGTGGAAAACACCATATTATTTCCCAAAAAGTGGAAGTCTAAAGATCCAAGCCAATAGCAGTCAAGGTTTGGTGGGGATTGGCAAGTGGTGAGCAAGCCGTGGGTTCTAACCCAGAGCGGTTTGGTGGGGCAGGCTGCCCCTTGCACTTTTGAAGGAAAGCGGTGTGTTGCCATGTGTCCACCAAGAGCCCCTTATGGTGCGTGAAGGGTGCACCTGGAAACTTCCACGTTACGTTGTCTCGCAGATGGGCCATTTCCATTTGACGATAGGCCCTGGTGGGCAAGCGCAGGGATTGGAACCGGAGGTTGGAAACAAAGGGAACCTTTTGACCCAGCTCGGAATGTGACAGTATGAGGCTACCCTTGGGTTGCTTTGAAAGGGATCGAGCCCTGCTCCCTTAACCACCAAAAACCAAAAAATAAAAAACACAAAACAAAACTGCGGGAAAAAGCCAAACTGGGTGCCCACCCCAAAATGAACCACCCTGGACCCTCAAACTACCCATAACATGGGGATTTCACCAACCAAGATTTTGGGGAACACCCATTTGAGAAGGGAACCCAATCCAAACTGAGACAAGGGTAGCACCCACCGAACCGGAAGGGAGAACCCCTTTCGACAAGATGCGTGCTTCTCAGGTCCAGTGGTTGCCCCATGAGAGGCAAGCGACTGTGCACGTTCTGCTGCGCGGAAACAAAAAAAACGAAAGAGAAAAAAAGGCGGCCGGTGCACAAATCCCCCGCCACCCCACGCTTTCTCGCCACATCACTCGCGCATCGCTTTGGGCGGGCCAAAGCGAGTCCATTTCACGTGGATTCGCATACGGTTTGAACAAGTAGAGGAAGCCATCAAGTATATGTGTCGAACGGGACCCCCAAAAAAAGGATTGATTTCAGTGTTCCGAAGCCGAAGTGATGACCGCTTCTGTGTTTCCCTGAAAAAGACCGGCGGCGGATTTCAGGGCACCAAGGTGACAAATCGTCCGTTTTTTCTGTCCGGATCGCACTTTACCCTTGGCTTCTGATACCCCAGACAACGATGTCATGGGCCCCACGTGAAAAAAATCTGACGGACAGCAAATGGAAACGGAATTGCCGCCTCTCTTGAAACAACTCCGGGAGCTCGCGGATGTTTCTCGAGGCTGCTACTACCCACAGTGTTTTCCTGCATTTGTCCTTTTGTTGTTGCAGGCAAGGATGCGAGCCCGGGATGAACCTAGCGTTGGGCTAAGGTGCTGAACTGCGGCTCATCACATACCACTAAGGGTGCTGGTTCATTTTGACAGTCTGCTACCAAGGGAAACTTGCCTCAAATGGGCCAGAAAGAGATGTCTGAAACCACGCAAAAAGCATCCCGCTGGCCGACCAGAAAGAAATGAGCCGAGCCCAGCGACATTGGTGTCCTTTTGGAGAAATAGATAGGTTCCGCTGGAAAATGATTCGAACCAAACTATGTTCCACCAAACCTGACCTAAAAGAACTACGCTGAGCCCTGCAGAGCTGAAAGAAACCCTGCCACTGGCAACTGCGCAATGTTGAAGACCCAATCAAATAAAGATGGGGTGGTCACGCCGGTTTATGTGGGTACTTTGGGTGGTGCACACATGTCCTGCCCAAACCAACAGCGGACCTCCAACAATATTGTCATTGCCCACAACCTCAAAGTCGTGGTTTCATGGCTTTGATTTGATCAGGGTAGACAATGAGTGAGGCTGCAGCTTGCAAGGATTGTTGGTTCTGGTTGAAGGTGGTGGTGTTGAAGGTGGGTCTCAACTTGACTTTAGAATCGAACCAGTCAAGAGTTCCGTGATCAAACGCACCAAACACTACATGTTCTTGGAATTCGTCAGTTTGGATAGCCACTATTGCAAGCCTCTCCAAACATGGAACTATCTGGGCTTGTTGACTTATGCGTTCTTGCACGGGAATCCGAACTCCCAAGGAATCCGCGAGCTCCCTCTTCCTAGAAGAAATATAGACCCGCCTCCATCGGGGCCTCACTGCACCGGATAAAAGAAAGCCGAAATCCGAAATCCTGTACCGACATGCTCAGGACTCGCCAAAATACCTGGCAGCTTTGCGGTACAACGGGGTACTTGTCGCCCTTGACCCATGGGACCTTGCAACCATGGCGTTGGTGGGTTATGTGCTCCATCTGTTCCGGGAAATCAAGGGGGCTTCCTTCGAACTGATGTCTCCACTTGAAGGTCGCGTTGCACCAGGGTGAAAGTAGATGGCACAATTCCAGGTAGATGTAACCCCAACATGTCAAGACTCAAAGTGGAATGAAACCCCATGATACGTGCGGTTCTCTGGAAGGAACAAGGCAAGCCCCTCTTTTCTTTGCCGATCTGGGTTGTGCGGTTGTTCAGTCTGAGCGCCCGCTTCACCCATTGGCTTGGGGCTCTAACATCGCCATAGAATTGTCTAGAGGCCTCTATCCCGTGAAACCAGGTAGACGCCCTTTTGG